GGTTATTTCAACTATATTTTTCTATCAGTGTACAATTACATTTATTAAAGAATATCTTTCGTTCTTATTCTATTTTTATTCTTGCGATCGCGGCTTAGCATTTCACGGTATTGTGACTAAAGTAATTGCTTCTTCATATTTTAGCTAAAATAGACGTGATTTAATAGCATTTCTTACACTGAGAAAAATTTCCATCGGATAAACCAATATTAAATAGTGTTTCCGATGGTTAGTTTTTCAATTACGTTTTCCCATTAAATTATCGGTTACATCCGATGAGATGCAGTTACCGATGAAATTTGATTGAAAAAACCGATCATATTTTTCATCGAATATACAATTTAATCGGATACATCCACTTGTTATTATTTAAATCGATTATCCGATTATATCTAACCGGATATTTTTCTCGGTGTATAAATCAGTAACACAATATTATAATGGAAAATGATCGATGGCGAGACGTCACGAAGATTTATGGAAAATAATCCGAGCATACTTAATGAGCGTGCAAACGAGGTCATCGTTACATGTAATTGTGATATGCTTTAAGTATCATGCATTATGATCTAACCTAACGAATGGAGATGATTCACAAATGCCGAGAAGCCATGCATCTATTTTCTAACGAACGTTTTTGCAGAAAACTCGTCATGCTAATTCGAGTTCGAAATACGACGGTGCAATGTAACACGTGGAGAGCCCACTCGAGAGACAGTTTCAACACTTGTAAACGACAAACGAATCCCGTCCAGATAAACATTCACGGTGTTTAACACTAGAAGGAGCGCACTTATCATTTCGCTGATTACGGAGTCCTCCCTTAGTCCAATCGTAGCTCACTGAATGTTTGTACAAGTCTGTAAATTTTGCGGCTTGTCACCGATTAGAATTACGGGGTTTTCGGGCAGGCGAAGATCACGCTGTTACTCTTTAAAACAATAACGAGAGATTTTCGTTTCCTTCTAGCGTTAAAATCACTGCGGGCGAGAGAGACAGCTACCCCGGCATCGACGATGACTTACAAAGCTGCCGCTGATGCAGTTGAGCATTCCGCCGGTTCCACCGAAGGCGAACTCCATGAAAGTCAAATTCGTATCAGTCCTCGATGATGATCATTTACAATTGTCGGTCGATCAATCGCGGGGGCACGCAATAACTTCTCGTCGTCGTCGTACGAAATTCCGTTCCACCGATCGAGCACGACTAACACGAGCGACGGTCTCGTTCTGCCGACGCTAAAAGCCTCGTGGACGACGTCAAGTGTACATTTATCCCTGCGAAGCTGTTCGAACGCGACCACGAGGAGGTCATCCGTAGCGAAAAAGGAGGGGGTTTCGCGCACACCTCATTCGTGTCGTTGGTTCGTCGGTGTCGCTGTTGCTTAGACAGATTGTCGTGGGAGTAGGTGGAAGTAGCCGAGGACGGTGAGAAGAAGATGAATAGTTTCATCCTGTCACTCCTTTAAAATAAGGAACGAAATTATTAACTACGAAGCTCGAAACAGAACTAACGCAATTGAACAGAGCTGAAAAAAAGTAAAAATAGATGCAGTTTTCATGGCCGAAAAATTTCTCGGGTGTCACACGGGGGTGGAAGCTGGCGAGAAATTTCGCGAAAATCGTACGAATTAAATAGAGGCGAATGAAGGAGGGGTAGATAGAAACGTATAGGAGCGTCAAGTAGTGACGAGAGGCAGGACGATGGGGGTCGAGGGCCAACCGGCTGTCGATTGCGACAACCTGAAGCTCTCACGTTGACAACAGTCGTTCGCCGACTCCTTTCAATGAGGCCCATTGTCTATCGGGGCGCACGTTTGCTCTTTGCAACTCCGTAAACATTTAAGATTTGTTTTCGAAACCACTAACAGAAAAGTGTACCGGAGCGGCAAGGCGTAGAAATCGCTCAAAATAAAAAAGATCTGCGCTTGGCGATAAGAGATTAACGATTTAGATAAATGACACGTTATAAATTTGATAAATTAACTCACAGTAACAATGAGTAAGCGGAAAATTTACTGTGATTTATTCTCCAAGACTTGCATCCACGATGCTTATTTAAGTTACATCCGTGGGAGAAGAAATCGCGCCGATGCATACAAGTGAAGATGTTACCTGATCGTTTATCACAAAAGAACAAAAGCATCCGTGAAATGCTCTATCATTGCTATTTAATTAACTGAAGCTACTAATTTGTAAATTATTACCTATAATCGGTTTAATATGTTGTGATCACGTTAACATATTGCATCGGAAATAAGATTAAATTACCACAAAAAGAAAAACACAACAACTTGTCGTAATTTACTTAAGAAGAAAATTGTCTTTTCTTACGACTTACAAATTTCAAGAAACAGTAACAGTAACGTACATATATTAATTTAATAAGTATGTTTTCTATCAACACAAAGTAAATTTCATTCTCATTAGATCTGATGTACGATAATTTGAAATTAACTTGAAAAGCGAAGAATAAAATATACTCTACACTTGTGTACATTTCATCAGCAAAGAACACGTTAGAGCGTGTCACACTCTGAGTTATTCTATATAAATTCGAGTGCTTTCGAAGGGGCAATGTCGATTGGCGTGCGACCCTCATGATTTATTTTGTACACGACAATGTACTGTATTGAGTCACATCACCTTGTCAATTTTTATTCGTAAAGTGAGACTCGGAGATGTCCTTTGGTCGAAACAAATGCCACGAGGCGTCAAACGCGATTACTAATTAAGGGGATGCTGGAGTGGTTTGATTTACCGACAGAGTCGGATACCGTTTTTGCGTTTGTAAATCTTATTATTTGCATTTATGTACAAACTAATACCAGACCCAAGTGTAGAATGCATAGTTGAACATTTTCATATAAAAAACATTGAGGTTTGAAGTCTAATTTGTATCGCATTATGTATTACAAATATTGCAATACATAATGCGATACGAATTAGACTTCAAACCTCAATGTTTTTTATATGAAAATGTTCTACTATGCATTCTACACTTGGGTCTGCTATTAGTTTGTACATATATGCTACATAATTATTTTCGTTTGTATCTATAATATGACATATTGAGGTTATACGTTCCTTGAGGTAAGATTTACAAACCTCCAAAAACTGTATGCGACTCTGTCGGTAAATCAAACCACTCCAGCATCCCCTTAATCAATCCGTACGATCAATAAATTCCAGAGTCTAACGATTCGTAGGATTTGTCGAGGCGACGGCTGTCTCTCCAAGATATCTCGCCCGGTTTATCTTGGAGTCCCATAAATTACTTAATTGCCCCATCGCCGCTATTCACGTAATCATTATCTCTTTGAATGTATCACGCATTGCACTTAATTCAAATCTTTCCTTCTTTTATTTTGTTATTATGTAATTGGATTATTCGAGTATATTTAATCGGGCATTTTTCTCAGTGCAAACGCTGAGGTTTAGCAATATTTCAAATTTCGATATTGCACGGTTCCGCTGTAATTAACCCGACTTTATAACTTAAATCGTATCGCGAAATTACGCATGATGCTTTTTAACAAAAATTTTTGGTTATGCACGAAGCGTCACTAATGCGCAGATCGACGCTGAGCCTTGCAATGCATTTAATTAGCGAGCAGAGTCGTAATTTTACATTTAAATATCTGTCAACCGCGCGGCGTGTAAATTCGATTGTTTGTATATCGACGACTCGTTAAAACTCTTTACCATTCAAGGTTTGTTTATTACGTTAATTTGCGAGATGCCGCGGGAATCGAGTGGATAACAGCTTCGTGAGATTGCATCGTTTTCGTTGTTTTTTTTATCGCGATAACGAAGTGCCGCGAGTGATTAACGGCATCGTGCAAAATACCGCACGCAATATCGTCGTACTTCGACGATTGACGCGCGATGATAATCAATTACGTGTCTCACATGGTCGAACTGGTGAGACGCCCGCCTAGAGTGTAGGGAAGTCCAGGTTCAAACCCCGGCTGAGGTGATATTTCCCGCAATAAATTTCTTTAATTAGGATTTGCCAGTTAGCGTCGCTTAACAACTTTCCTACATTGGGTAATCAAATATGTTTTCGCAAGTGAGTATCGCGTGAGTGACATGGGACGAAGGACGACAGCGCAAGAGAGATCCAGGAAGACATCAGAGACTGAACGAAAACGACGATTGATTTTTGCAAAAGGAGAGTATGTCTAAGTCTGGCGAAGATCTTTCCTCTACGCGTTCCGCCAAGCGTCTTGTGTTACAAAAATATAAACACGTCTTCAAAACATTCGAGATCTTCAACGATATTTTTTTTTCGAAATTTTTGCGATTTCGAAAATCTCGCTTTTTAGAATAATGGAGATTCTTGTTACATACTCTAAAAAAATTAATCAGCGAATGATCACAACAGTGAATGGTCACTGATTTCAGTGATAATCCACTGACTGATTCTTACAGAGTGTTCTCGGTAATTTAAAACGTCTGGAGCACATCATTATACGTAGCACTTAAGAAATTAAAATCTGGGTAAGAATCAATATCACTCGCGTTATTAACATTGATAAGTAAACGATTGGTACTCTAATAAAAAAAATCTTAATAAAAAAATTACTTTACTCAAGAAAATTATTCATTAGGTAAAAGCTTATTAACTTAAATTAATAAACCAATTGAAACATGCATTGCTTTAATTTAAGTATTTATTAAATATAAAAGAATAGATAATTTTAAATTTAAAAAATTTTATTTCAATTCTATAAAATGTTTACTAAGATGTAATGTTCACAGCGAAGAAAATTGGATTTCTTATTTAACAACAACAATTATTTCGTTTAGTAAATAGTATTCTATATCTAATGAAATCTTCATTTGAATGTAGAAAATGTAACGATTTAAATTAATTTACTTAATATAATACATAGATTTACTTGAAATTACATATTGTTATTTAAATAGGATAAATAGGATAAATATTTACCTCAGTAAAACAAATAATTTTAAGTAAATCTATTTACTTAAAATTACTTTTTTGTCGCTCACATTGGCACTCTCTCCTTTCTACACATTTCCTTTTTGGGAGCCTTCACAACACTTTGGAACATTCTGTTTACTTAGTTAAAAAAAATTTTGTTGTCAGTGTAAATAAACGCCGATAGACGCGTAGAAACGACAGACTGCGCTCTGTCGTACGGAATGCACAACTCGCCTCGATAATTGCAAACCGCTGTCGCCGTTCGTTGAGACAAGTTGTTTATTCATGTTTGTCTTCGCGCTCGCTTGCCTGCTTCGGTTCACAGCGGCTTAATGATCGCAATTATAAATTTAACCTGCACGAATTCTGCGCAATGCCACTCGCCAATTTTTATCGCTTATAACTCGACGATAATTGCGATTTCGATACTTACCGCACTAGGATTCTCGACCTCGACTTATTTCTAAATGCGCTACCGAAGCGTTACACGGCGGTTGTACTCCGTGTAATCATGCGTGAGCAAATATAGCACCTCCGTACCGAACAGACGTAGAAGCTGCAGAAATGGTAATTTGCCTATGCGCACGACCGATGAATCGCCGAAGGGCGTGTTCGTATGAAACATCGATGAGCAGGTTCCGCGAAGCATCGACTTAAAACCGACTCCCGTACAATCTTCAGCGTTACGAGATGAGTCACGGTTTACGGGTCTATCCGGGCAATTATGCTCGGTCTCATCGAGACGGGACGACACGTGTCGCTTCCCGATTCCAATCGACCTCTCTTTCACTTGGGAACTGTGACGCTATTGTTTAAAGCCTGGTGAATAAACTATCATGTAGAAAAAGTCGCGCGGCGAATCGTTAAACTTGGCTCGCCTCGAACAGAGAAATCTACATACCCCGATGCTCGGGCGAGACGTTACCGTTCCGGATGCTGCACGCGTTACAGCTAATAAGAAAAGAGAGAGAGAGAGAGAGAAAATCATGTAAAAGGCGAATAGTACACGTGTAACGTGCGTGCGTTACAACCCGTAAAGTTAACGCAGATATGAATCGGCTCGCGTACACACGAACCGTTTCTCGCCAGGCGCGTTCGCGCGGTAGCTGATCTTGAACTACATGTTCCACTTTAGCTTTCATGATCGACGCTCTCTTTGACAGCCCTGACGGCGACCGCGCAGGGTTACCCGCAACGATTGTGATTAATACGACGGCGGCCCGCAGTAAAGGAGGCGTAAACAACCGCGCCCAAGCGGGCTGAGAGGATAAGTCTCACGACGATCTGGAATGTACGTAACTGCGAATGGTCTAGGCCAGTTCGCGGGACCTTGGAGCCGTTATATGGCGAAGTTCTTACGTGCATATATGCATATTCCGTGCCGTGCGATGCTGCTCGCATGTACACAGCGCGATACGCTCCTTTACATAATCCGCTCTTACATCGTGGATATTGTATAATATAGGAAAATATGGCTCTCATATAATTCATTTCTAGACGGTCTCGAGTTTT